TTGTTTTGCTTTAGTGTTTACATGTGGCCTGGCTATGACTGGCTGGCGCATTCCAATTTTCAAATGCTTAGTTATGTGTACCTAAATACTCACGGCATCTGTTCTAGGATAATGCTGATCGGACAACATCGTTTGTTGTGCTCATCAATCTTTTACGGCCTTTGGATCCTTCACGGTGGCCATCTCCTACAGCAAATGAGTCCCTAGCTACTAGAAACCAGAAGTTCTCTGATTTAGTTGTGAAATGTCTTATCAAACTTACCAAGGTGATTCTTTTGTAATAGTGATAGTATCAAACTTTTGTTTGTCTTCCAATGGAAATATATTGGTAGGCATTGATGAATTTTTCTTGAATATCTTTTTGTCGACATCCATGTTTCTCAGAAAGTATTAAAAACTTTCTTTTTAACCGACCTCATGGTTGATGTTATGTAGGTTCTCCAAAGTACCATATATGATGTTGACCTCGATCGAATTCTTCAAAGCATTCATGTATACCTACAAGAACTAGGCATGGAAGAAATCAGGAAGAGGTATGTACAAACTAAGTAATTATATTGCTAGACTATGTCCTTTATGTTTTTCTGGATTGTTGGTTGCTTTTGTTTAAAGCTTGCACTGGCATAACATTTTATTTGGGGTTCTTTCGATGAATTATTTAGAGCTGGCGCTGATGACAAACCATTAAGGATGGTGAAAACTGTTCTACATGAACTTGTTAAGCTTCGCGGGACTGCCATAAAGGGTCATCTTTCTATGGTTCCTATTGATATGCAACCACCACCTATAATTCTTGCATACATTGACCTTAACCTTCAGGTAGTGTTGCTGTAGTATGTTGCAACTCTTCACATATTTGTTACCGCATAGCAGCACTGTTTACAACATTGAATTTACATGGCGGAACATCTATATGATATATCTTATCGTCTTAAATTTTGGCAGACATTGGCAGCTGCAAGAATGTTAACTCCTTCTGTACCTGGACAAACTCATTGGGGTGATACCACTGCTAACAACCCAGCACCTGCAAACCATTCTGATGCTCAGATGAAGGTGTTATTTTGTTTATGGTTCTGGCTATAATTTTTTTGACTGTAGTTAATTCACAAATGAAAACCCCACATAGTCCATTTACTACATTGTTTTTTTTATTTCGCGATATGTAGACCTAATTCTCAGGTCTCAATCTCAACTATGTAATTTTGATCAATGCCTCATAAGTAGTGTTATATCAACCAGCGGACGAAAACAGCCTTCATAAGTAGTGTTATGCAATGCCTCAGAATTAAGTCTCGTGTGAATTGCATAGTCGAGGAGCAATTGTGTGCGAAAGAATGTTAAAGATCCAATTAAGGAGTGCCATGTAGTTGAGAGACTAAATTTGGCATCAACTCTTTTTTACCTGTGCCTTGTGGAACATCTAATTGTTTTGCTCTCTCTACAGCAAGAATTGGCAGCAATATTCAAGAAGATTGGTGACAAGCAAACATGTAAGATTGGTCTCTCTGAGTTATATCGAATTACACAATTATACCCCAAGGTAATTTGCTGCCTGATTACTTACCTTTAAACGAAATCTGTGGTTAGTGGTCTAATACAGATGGTTTAACATTATAATGATCTTCAGGTTGACATATTCTCTCAGCTGCAGAATGCAAGTGAAGCATTTAGGACTTATATTAGAGATGGTTTAACACAGGTCTGTAATTGTCCTTTTCTTTTTGTATATGCAATAAGGAAAAAATAATATTGGGTTGTTCTTGAATCTTGATAGGGGTTGGTGTTCCAATCCCAGGTCTGAAGGAAAAAATACTATGGAGTATCAATTTAGGGCTTAATTGCTTTAAATAAAAGTCAAAGGCCCTCGAAATATAGTACAAGGTTTGGATAAAATTGTAAAGAAATTGAAATAGATAATTAGGAAAATTGTAAATAGAATCTGAAATAAATAATTAGTACTTCAAAAATCAGAGTATGAAACGTGAAATGGTTCTAAACCTTAATTGTGATAATAATTGATTAACACCCTGATTGATTAAAAAACGTGAAGCACAAGTCCAAACATGGTGTTAAATTTAGTTTTTCCTTTGAGATTTATATCGTTTAGGTCTTAAGATGATATTTTTTTTGCTTTCAGGTCCCAAATTCAGAATTAAGTACTCCCTCCGTCCCGCTAACAATGGGACAAGAGGGAGTGACACGCAAATTAATATAAAGTGGTTTATGTGGTTGATATTGAATTGATAAAGTAAGATTAAAGTAAGAATGATTTAGAACCACACAAACTTTACCAAATTTGGTATGGGACAATCTTAGTGGGACGGACCGATAAGGTAAAATGGGACACTCATAGCGGGACGGAGGTAGTATTAGCCATGTTTTCGGGGTTTAGTTGACAAAATTTGCATCTTTTTATATAAGGGTAGTTTGTTCTAAAGAGATTCTTGCTCTGTATATTTCAGATGGAGAAAAGTGCTGCAGCCGGACGGACTCCTTCTAGTGCGCCTGTGCCAACGCCTCCTGCACTGGACTTATCTTCCCCAAAATTCAGTCATCTATCACCTGCAAATACAACCCCTGCTTATGACACAAAGTCTGTGAATGCTAAAGTCGAACTCGGACACTTCAGTCTGCCACCTTCATATGCTGAGGAGGAAAGGCCTAGTCACACCGTCCTTTCAACTGGTTCCGCATTGCATCAAACCGAAATAATACGGCAACAACCAGGGGAATTAAGAGGTGAAAGATTTCCATCTGGAGGTGATCCCCAATTGCTTCAGAATCCGTTTGAAACCCAGAAAACACTAGGCTTATAAAATAGGTGGAAAGAAGGAAGTGAAATCTAGGAAAGACAAATTGAGGGAAAGCGAGAGCCTCAAACTCAATATATATAATTTTTATATTTTGTCCGCTTATTGGTTTAGATCCTTTTGGTAAGCTTAAAATAAAATGGCTGAATTGGTTGAAATGTAGAATTATAAAAAATATAATTAAAACTAATTAATTTTAAAAAAAGGATAAAATCTCATATCCAGCAACTTCAGCCAAAAAGTACTTATAGCCCAACCTTTTACCATTATTAACTATTCAATGTGTTTGGTCAGATAAATATATACTACATATTAGTTTGTTTGAGAAAGTAATCCTTAGCATTCTTCTTTTCATTTTCCTATTTGCATTTTTCTAGGGAATCAGATAATAATAAATTTTATGGGCTGTGCAGTTAGCGGTGGAACCCTGGAAGCTATCAGGGAAAGAATGAAAAGCATGCAATTAGGAGCAGCATCGACTGGGATTCCAGATCCAGCAAATCCCGGAAACATGGAATTCATGTCCACGAACAACGGGGGTATCACCCAAGGAGATTTTAGTCAACAACATGCTTCTGCAGCTGATCATAAGAGCGCAAGTGAGATGTCCCAACATAGTAGCACGGTCCTTCCCATGGATGAAAAGGCACTCTCGGGACTTCAGGCAAGAATGGAGAGGCTTAAGAGCGGGTCTATTGAACCACTTTGAATCGAAGCCGTCTTGGTGTTATTGCCACCCGTATGTTTATATATATAGACACACATTATCGTCTTTCAGATCCTTTTGACATAATGACACCTATTGATCTGGCAGCAGAGTAGGCTAGTGCTATGCTTGATGTTGGTTAGAAGGATTACTTGTGTATATTGTAGCCTGGTAGGGCGGGTGGGGTGGGGTGTCATTGTTTCCTTTGTCTTGATTATATAATAATTAATGAGCTTCAAAATGGTCACCACGAGTCTTGCTATCCAGTTTTGTAGTGAATTCTACTAGAGTTGCTCTTTCTCATCGCCTTGATTTTGCTTACACAAATGTTGTTTATATCATTATATTCTCACAATGAATCCTGATTATTAGTAATGCCTCTGGCGAGGTAGTTCATAATTCATGTTACATACGGAGTAATTTTGTTGATAATTTTGTTGTTTATATTCTCACAATTAGGGATGGACCAAACCGGGTCGGCCCGGCCCTGAACCGACCCGACCCGCCACTGTGCGAGTCGGGCCCGGCCCGGTTACGGAATGGGCGGTGCGGGCTTTTACCCGGCCCGGGGGAGGCTAGCGGTTCGGGCACGGTTCACAAAATGGAAGGCCCGGCCCGGCCGGTTCGGGCCAATGTAGGGATGGACTCGGTTTGGGCCGGGCCTTGAACCGGACGGGCCTCGGTTCAAGGTATGGGAGGCCCGAAACTGGCCTGGGTAACCCCCGGGTCCGGGCCGGGCCGGGCCTCGGGTATTTTTTTTTTTGGGCTTTTCCTAGTTAACCCCCACCCCTCCCCCTCACCCCCAAACCAACCCGAACCACCTCAAATGGCCCAAAATACCCAGCCCAACCCAAAAACTCAAAAAAAAAATCAAAAAAAAAAAATTAAAATTGGCCAGGCCCGGGCTCGGGCCCTTCAAAAGGTGAACCGGCCCGGCCGGTTCGGGCCCGGGCTGGGCCAATTTATTAATTTTGTTTTTGATTTTTTTTTTAAGTTTTTGGATTGGGCTAGGTATTTTGGGCCATTTGAGGTAGGGTTGGATTCGGTTCGGGCCACCCGGCCCGTGACCCGGTCCGGCCCGGTACTGTGTGGGCCCAGGACCGGCCCGGTCGGGCGGTCCGGGACCGGGTCTGGGCCCGAACCGGGGGGAAGAAGCGGGGCGGTCTCGGTTCAGCAATTTTGTGACCCGGCCCCGGGTCCGGTTCTATCAAATTTAAAAAAAAAAAAATTTTTGGGTTGGGCTCCTACTAGCCGTTGGGGGTGGGGCTGGGGACAACCCAAACGGCTATATAGCCGTTGGGTGGGTTATAGGGGGGGTCCGGGGGGGGTTGGGTGGTGGGGGGGGTGGTGGGGGGGGTGGGGGGTAAAAAAACCTATAAATACTCCTAATCTTAAACATTTTTTCATATCTCTTCTCCAATTCTTCCTAAATCCTATTCTTAACTCTCTACTTTCTAATTCTCTTATTCTCCATTCTCCAATATATTATATTTATTATTTATACTTTATATTAATTATCTACTTATATAAACTATAAATAGATATAAATAGTATTATATTACTTATATTTGTTATCTAATTATATATTACTTATATATTTATTATATCTATTAATATAGTTGGAATTATATCTAATTAATTTGAAGTCATTCTATTACTCCCATCCGAAAGACCGAAAGTCCGAAAGAGGTACGAAATTATTCTATTATTTATACTTGTTTAATTACTAGTTAATTAGTATAGTTGGAATTTTACAATTTTTTATTATCTGCTACATTTGACTCTAGTTTAAAAAATATGTTGTACACAAAACTAGTTAATTCACTACTTAATTTGCTATAACTCGAATTAATAGTTAGATAAATAGTTAATTAGTTTTTTACAATTTTTTATTAATTGCTACATTTGACTCTAGTTTAAAAAATATGTTGTACACAAAACTAGTTAATTCACTACTTAATTTGCTATAACTCGAATTAATAGTTAGATAAATAGTTAATTAGTTTTTTACAATTTTTTATTAATTGCTACATTTGATTCTAGTTTAAAAAATATGTTGTACACAAAACTAGTTAATTCACTACTTAATTTGCTATAACTCGAATTAATAGTTATATAAATAGTTAATTAGTTTTTTACTATTTTTTATTAATTGCTACATTTGACTCTAGTTTAAAAAATATGTTGTACACAAAACTAGTTAATTCACTACTTAATTTGCTATAACTCGAATTAATAGTTAGATAAATAGTTAATTAGTTTTTTACAATTTTTTATTAATTGCTACATTTTTTAGATGGATCGTCCTAGATATTCGGTTGATATGGGTAACCTCGAGCGTAACCGAACGAACGAGCTTGCGAGGAAGAGATCCCGCAAAGGTAAATCACATCTCGGCTCTTCATCTCAAAGTCAAGATGATTTTGATACGGGTTACGTAAGGAGGGATGGGGATGCGATGACCGACGAACAACTAGAACAAGAATTGCACCGACATAATTCCCGCTTTTTTCAAGACCAACCGAGGACCATTGACGAAGAAGAGCTCGAGGACGAGGACGACGATGTGGAGGAAGCAATTCCGGAGAGCCACGACGACGACGAGGAGGAGGGTGGCGGCAGCCATGACGCCGACCAAGCAGCCTCATCCCAAACAGGTACAAAAAAAAGTAAATCTGAATTAATGGCTAATAATTTTTCTAAGTGGAAGGACCCGAACACCAGGAATTGGACCGCAACTTGCAATTGGTGCAAGAAAAACTATAGCTTGGGGATTTCCGGTGGATACGGATCCGCCACAAGACACCTTAAGTCCAAACACCCGGTGGAGTATGCAAAATTAGGCGGCGGAACGGGGAAACAAACGCAAATATCGAGGTTTGCAAATAACCAACAAGCTTTTGGTAATTTCTCATACAATGATGCACAAAATTTGACAGGTATGGCTAACTTACTTGTTGAAGAAAATTTGCCTTATTTGTTTTCTGAAAGTCTTGCTTTTCGTGATTATGCACAAACTTGTTTAAATCCGCAATATAGAGGTTATAGTCGCAAAACGGTTAAGAAAGAAATTTCAAGGCTTTATGGTGCGGAAAAGGTAAGGTTACAAAATTATTTTGCAAACTTTGATGGACGTGTTACTGTATGTTCTGACATATGGGAGGATACTTATCATAATTTACATTATTTGGGTCTGACTGTACATTATATTGATAATGATTGGCATATGCATAAACGTGTTCTTGCTTTCCGTGAATTTAATGATCGTCACACCGCTGAACATATTTATATTTTGATTGAACGTATTTTAATTGAGTATAATTTAATTGATAAGGTGTTTGCTATTGGTTTTGATAATGCTACTAATAATACTGCTGCTATTCCTAGATTGCGTGAATTGTGTGGTTCTACTTCTTTGATGGGTAGATTTTTTCATCAACGATGTGCATGTCATGTTCTAAATTTATGTGTGCAAGATGGTCTAAAAGCGTTGGGAGCATCGTTGGAGGTAGTCAAGGGGGGGATTAGACGTATTTGGGGTAATGGACACCTTAGGAAAAAATGGCATGATTATTTGATTAATTGGAGTTCTTCTTAGATATAAACAACATTTTCCTGCTTTTATGAAACAATATGATAACTATATTATAAACTCGGCTGAGATCGACACCTGTGAAAAAATTTGTAATGCTTTGATATATTTTAATAATGCAACTGAAACTTTTAGTCATGTTTATAAACCTACCTCAAACCAATTTATTCGTGAAGCTGTTAATCTCGCCGGTGCTTTTTCAAATTTTGAGAATGCTGATTATGTGAATTATTTTGCTGGTTTTATGAAGGAAAAGTTTTTAAAATATTATTCACATATTCCGCATATTTATGGTATTGCATTTGTTCTCGATCCTCGTTTTAGACTTGATTCTTTAGAAGAATGTTTGAATTATTATTATGCTGCTTTTTTTGGTCCATTGCCAATGTATGAGGACAACCCAATTGATCCGAAAAAAGAATACAACGAGGTTAGTGATATATTTTATGCATTATTCAATGAGTTTCATGCACAATATGGCAATGCGCCTCCTCCCCCGACACAAACATCATCTAAAGGAAAATCAATTTTCAAATCTACGTTTGCCAATCTTATTAAAAAAACAAAATCAACTCCCGCTACACAACAAAGCACAATTAATGAGATTTCTTTGTATTTAACTTATGATGTTGATTTTGAAGAAGATGATGATTTTGACGTACTAAACTGGTGGAAGGGAAAAGAAAGAATGTTCCCGGTTTTAGCAAAGATGGCTAAGCAAGTGCTATCAATGCCGGTTTCAACGGTTGCCGTGGAACAAGAATTTAGTTCGGCCGACAATGTTCTAACACAAACCAGAACGAGGTTGAGCGCTGAATCTCTTGAGATGCTTATATGCTACCACGATTGGTTGAAAGCAGCACGTAGAGCTCAAGAAATTGACATCACTCCATCACAACACTTTATGGATGAATCTACAGAGGGTGGCTCTACTTATGCCGGAGATTCCGATTAAAAACAATTATAGTTCCTATTTAATTTTCAAATGTAGTTCCTATTTCATTTCAAATAAATGCACTTGAAGTTTGTTTTTTAATACTTGTATAAAACTATAAAGTATAAAATATAAATTTAAAAAAAAAAAAATTACCCGGGCCCGACCCGGCCCGGCCCGGCGGGTGGCCCAACCCGGCCCGACCCGGCGGGTGGCCCAACCCGTGACCCGGGCGGGTGGCCCGGCCCGAACCGGACCCGTCCAACCCTCGGGCCGGTCCCGGGCCCACTATTCTAGAACCGGCGGCCCGACCGGGCCTAGGCCCGGCCCGGGCCCGACCCGGCCCGAATCCACCCCTAATTTGAGGTGGTTACGGTTGGTTTGGGGGTGAGGGGAGGGTTGGAGGTTAACTTGGAAAAGCCAAAAAAAAAAATTAGAACCGAGGCTCGGACCCGGGGGTTACTCGGGCCGGTTTCGGGCCTCCCCTTCATGAACCGAGGCCCGGCCGGGCCCGAACCAGAACCGGAACCGGTCCATCCCTAATCAAGCCCAACCCGGGTGGAGCCCAAACAAATGAAAAAAACAAAAAAAATTAATTTTGGCCCGAACCAGGCCGGGCATTGTTTTGGGTGACTCGAGCCCGGACCGGAAACCCCTCGGGTCAGGCCTACCTGGACCGGTCACTGACCGGGCCACCGGGTCGAGCCGGGCCGGAATAGAGCTGGTCCCGGGCTGGTTCCAGGTCGGGCCACCTGGCCCGAGTCCAAGCATACATAATATGTTTCTTTTCTTTTTGTATTTTTGATTTTTAATTTTTTAACTTTTGAAATTTTTATTTTTTTTATTTTTTAGATCTTTTAATTTTCAAATTTCAAAATTTGTAATTTTTTAATTTTATAATTTATTTTAGTTTTTTAAGTTTATAATTATTTAATTTTAAAATTTGTAATTTTAGATTTTTATAGTTTTTAGTTTTTTAATTTTATACTCCCTACGTCCTAAATTGTTATGCAAATTCAACTGTTTTTGGTCAATCAATAATATAAGTCAATCGTCCCTATTAGTTGATTCAATTTTTAATAATTAAAATTTACATATTCAGAAATTACATTGAAATTTATTCAATTTTTAATTTTTGAATTTTTTAAATTTTATTTTTTTATTTTTTCGTTTTTTAATCTTTTAATTATTTAAGAATTTTTTTTTTTACATTTTTTATATTATAACTTTTTGTCCATTCACGTAGGAGAAAATTGATGAATAGTTTATCGTTATCAACACGTTTCCTACAAAATACCCCGATTTGGAGGTTGAGAATGGAAGGAAGTGGAGGATTTTTGAAACCTTCGACTTTCCTCCCATTCCCCTTATTTCCTTCAACCAAACCACACAAATCACTCGTTTTTCTTCCCTCCCCTCCGAAACTCGCTAAGGCGCTAACCAAAAAGGGCCTATAGTGTTACATACCATCTCCATTTTCTCGAGCATAAATGACACATAATCACCTGCAAGTTACAATTATCATAATTGACTGATGATTAGGAGTGGACTCGGGCCGAGCCAACCGGCCCGGAACCGGACCGGCCCGCTACTGTGCGGGCCCAATCCGGACCGGTGAACTGGTTGGTGCCCGGTTCGGGCCACCCGACCCGGTGAGGTAGGCGGGCCGGGCTCGGGCCTCCTAAATCGTGAACCGGCCCGGCCGGTTCGGGCCCGGTCCAGGCCAATTTTTTTTTTCTTTTTTTTTTTGAATTTTTTTTATGTTTTTGGGTTGGGCTGGGTATGATGGGCCATTTGAGATGGTTTGGGGTGGGCTGGGTATGATATAGCTTCTTAACAGTAATTGAAATCAAGAATTCAACAAATTAAATGTATGAAGAAGGAATGTAGAAGAGATCTGGTGCGGAAGAGGAAAAATCAAAATGAGAATGAATTAATTAATCTAGTTTACAATCTGCAGGATATATATCCAATACTAACTAAGACTAAGGCCCAATATAAAGTATAGTAGGCCTGGAATACAAAAGAATAAAAAACAGCCCATATAATTATTCTTGATACGCCCCCTCAAGAGGAGCATTGATGTCCATCATGTTCATCTTGACTGCAAATTGGTTGAAAAGTAGATTCCCAAGTGGTTTAGTATAGATATCTGCAAGTTGAAAATTATTCTTAATATGAATCAAAGATATTAAACCAGAATTTATCTTTTCTCTAATTAAATGACAGTCTAATTCTATATGTTTTGTTCTTTGATGTTGAATAGGATTGTGAGCTAAATGATATGTTGATTTATTGTCGGTGTAAATGATGATAGACAAAGAAAACTATATTTGTAAATCATGAAGAATATAATATAACCATTGAGCTTCACAAACTGCATTGGCAGCAGCTCTATATTCGGCTTCAGTAGAACATCTACTTACCACTTGTTGTTTTTTAGATTTCCATGAAATTAAAGAATTACCAAGATAAAAAGCATAACCAGAAACACTTATCCTAGTATCTATACAAGCAGCCCAATCAGAATCAGTATAACCTTGAATACAGAAATCAGAAACAGCTGGATAAAAGAGGCATTTACCTAGAGAGTTTTTAAGATACCTTAACATTCTATGAGCTGCACTCATATGAATATCAGTTGGAGAAGAAAGAAACTGACTAAGAACTTGAACACTGTAAGCAATGTCAGGCCTTGTAACAGTTAAGTATAAAAGTTTTCCAATTAAGGTTCTATATGTTTTAGGGTTATCTAAAACAATACCATCCTTTTTAGAAAATTTAAGTTTGGGGTCCATTGGAGTTGTATAAGGTTTAGAATGTAAATAACCACATTCATTAAGAATATCAAGGGTATATTTTCTCTTACACAAGTTTAAACCCTTATTAGACCTAGCAACTTCAATACCCAAGATATATTTTAATTCACCGATATCTTTAGTAGTAAATTTGTTATGTAAAAAAGTTTTTCATGTATACTATTTCCAACAAGAATTATATCATGTACATATATAAGAAGAGCAATGAAAGAAGTATTATTAGATTTAGTGAATAATGAAAAATAAGCTTGAGATTGTATATAACCAAAATGTTTTAGAGATTCAGAAAGCTTACAGAACCATTGTCTGGAAGCCTATTTCAAACCATAAAGGCTTTTGACAAGTTTGCATACCCTGTTATCAGTAGGAGCTAAATATCTTGGAGGTGGCTGCATAAAAATATCCTCATTTAAATCACCATGTAAAAAAGCATTATTTATATCCAATTGATGTAAGAACCCGTTTTTAGCACTAGCAATAGCTAAAATGATTCTAACAGTGGTTAATTTGACAACAGGAGAAAAAGTATCAAAATAATCAAAACCTTCTTCTTGAGTATATCCTTTAGCAACTAATCTGGCTTTATATCTTTCTAAAGAACCATCAGGTTTTAATTTGGTTTTAAAAACCCATTTACAGCCTATTATATTTTGATTAGAAGGAGGGTCAACTAAAATCCAGGTTTTATTTTTCTCAAGAGCTTGAATTTCAGTTATCATGGCATTCTGCCATTCAGGAGATTTGGCAGCCTGTTTATATGTTTTAGGTTCAGTAATTTTTGAAAGAGCAGCAATGAAACCAGAATGAGGAATACTCAATCTATTGTAGGTAATATAGTTATCAATAGGATATCTAACAAGATTACAAGAAGAAGAAGGTGAAATACCTATAGTGATAGATATACGTAATTTATAACTATAGTCTTGAAGATGAATGGGTAACGATCTTACCCTTGTTGATTTTCTGTGATTCTGATTTTCAGGATCAGATAGATTAGTCTGTAAGATGCTAGAATCATTTTGAGCAGCAGTATCATTCATATTCATAAGATTGATTTCATCATTAATTTGGTTTTGTAAATAATTGTGAGAGTTATTTGAAGTTATGTTATAATCATTTGAATAATCATCATCTGTAGAGGAATTGAAATAAGTAGGATCAGAATGAGTTCAGACAGATGATTCAGAATTATTTTTGTAAGGAAAAATCATTTCATAGAACTTAACATTCCTGGAAATAAGAAACTTATGATTAGCAATATCATACAGTTTATATCCTTTAGAACCTAAAGGATATCCAATAAAAACACATTTAACAACTCTTTTATCAAATTTGGACCTATCAGCAGTTAGAGTAGAAGCATATACAAGAGAACCAAAAACTCTTAAATGGGAATAATCATGAACTTTATTATATAGAAGCTCATAAGAAGATTTATTATTTAAAATAGCAGTAGGTAGTCTATTAATGATGTGAACAACAGTTAGAATACAACCAGACCAGAAAATTAAAGGTAAACATGATTGAAAAAGAAGAGATCTAGCAACTTGAAGAATGTGTTGATATTTCCTTTCAACCCTAGCGTTTTGTTGACGAGTTTCAACACAAGAAAGTTGATGAATAATGCCATGATTATTATAAAAATCTGAAAATATAAATTCAGTACCATTGTCAGTTCTAATAGTTTTTATTTTGGCATGAAATTGAGTGCTAATGAGATTATAAAAATTCATCATATGAAATTTAACTTCAGATTTGGTTTTCATCATAAAAACCGAGGTGCATCTAGTATGATCATCAACAATTGTTAAAAAATATCTAAAATCAGAATAAGATGGGACCTTAAAAGGTCCCCAAACATCCATATGAACAAGATCAAAAGCATGAGAAGCATAAGAGGTACTATCAGGAAAGGGTAAACATTTTTGTTTAGCAAAATGACATATATCACAAAAGATAGGTTTATTCATATGATGAGAAGCATTACGATCAACAATAGTTTTCAGTTTGTTGAAAGGTAAATGACCTAGTCTACAGTGCCAAAGATCAGATTTATTATCTACAGATTGATTATTAGCAGCATTAGCAATAGACAATTTATTTGTTGAAAGAAAAGGTTTAGAAGTATTGTAGAGATAAAGTCCACTTTGAAGATCAGCATAGCCAATCATTTGGTTGGTGAGCAGATCCTGCAAAGTAGCATGGTTAGAAGTAAAATGAACAGAAATGTGTTCATGTAAAGCAAGACTAGATATAGATATTAGGTTAAAGCTGAACTGAGGAACATATAATACATCATGAAGAGTAAAAGTATTATTGATTTTAATATCACCTATATGAAGTAGATTTAGGTATGGAAGTATATAAATTGATATTGTGAGTCATGTGATTAGAAGCTCCAGTGTCTAGGATCCAAATAGAGGAATTAGTAGTAGATAAGAAAGCATAATGATTACCTATTAAAGGAGAAGCATCAAGAAACTGATAATGTGATGAGACAGCCATGACAACATTAGCAGAAGCAGATTTATAGTCTGAGTCTTCATGAACTCAAGGAATTTGTTGTAGAGATTTGGATCACAGAAGTCCAGGTCATTAGAAGATGAATCAGTAGATGTATTGGCTAAGTGGGCATGAGTGTTCTTAGTAGAGTTGGCAGGAAGTTTGAACCCATGAGCAATTCTCAACCCTTTTGGTCCTTTCCAATTTGGAGGATATTCAATGACTTGAAAACATTTATCAACATAGTGGTCTTGATAGGCACAGTGAGTACAGGTGATGTATTTCTTTTTGGATTTTTTGACTAAGAATGCAACAGAATCAACAGAAGGTGGATCATGATTGTTAGGATTATCAGAAGGAAAAGGAACAGAATTAATGGGATGTTGAAGTGTTCTTTGAGACTCTTCTTGAAGAAAGAAAGAGTAAACAGTAGACATGTTAGGAAAAGGTGTTTGAAGAAGAATTTGGCTCCTTAAATTGGAATAAGGCTCATTGAGACCAACAAGGAATTTTTGAACAGACTTTCTGAAGCAACATTTGATATTTCTCATTTAGTTTACAAGTACAGAGACCACAAGAACAAGAAGGGAGAGTTTTAAAATTTGCATATTCATCCCAGAGACCTTTGAACAGGTTAAAGTAAGCAATAACAGATTGAGTGCCTTGAAAAATATTACCTAGGGTTTTTTCGAGATAAAAAACTCTAGGGTCATCACTTTTACCATATCTAAGCTGAATTTCGTCCCAAAGATCTTTAGCAGATGTAAAGTATAAGAAAGTAGAACGAATTTCAGGAGCAATGGAGTAAATCAACCAGGAAAGTATTAGGACATTGATACGATACCAGACATTGTAGGCAACTTCATTTTCTGGTGTCGGTTTAGTGATAGAGCCGTCAAGGAACGCCATCTTGTTCTTGACGCTAAAAGCCATCGTAACAGACTTCTTTCAAGCATTGAAATTCTCACCATTGAGCGTCTCAGAGATGATACGGAGGCCAGCATGATCGCTCGGATGTAAGTAGTAAGGAGATGATGGATCCTCAGTAGGATTTAGAGGAAGTAGGATGTTCGAATTCATCGCAATCAACGATGTGCGAAGAAACTAGGGTTAGGGATTCTGGAATTTCAACAGAAAATGAAAATCGATTGTAGAAATCGATATCAAAGATGAAGATGAAAAACGAATTAGGATCAAATAACCTAATCTGATACCATAACAGTAATTGAAATCAAGAATTACAACAGATTGAATGTATGAAGAAGGAATGTAGAAGAGATCTGGTGCGGAAGATGAAAAAATCAGAATGAGAATGAATTAATTAACCTAGTTTACAATATGCAGGATATATATATCCAATACTAACTAAGACTAAGGCCCAATATAAATTATAGTAGGCCTGGAATACAAAAGAATAAAAAACAGCCCATATAACTACTCTTGATACTTCTTAAACAAATAAATAAAATCAATAATGACACATTGACAAATTGACCAAATCAATAATAATGATTCTAAACGATGACTGTTTTTAAATAATTATGAATAACATAACATAAGATGGATCATAATTTTGTCGGCTTCTTTTAGATAAATAGATATACGATAGACTAATTTGGGCAATAATCTCAAACGTTGGATTTGTTTTGTGTAATAAGCCTCCACCAATATATTGCACTGTGTCCATTTTCTTTATCCTTTTCATCTAAAGAACACTTTATTTTATATTACATTAGACCATAACAAAGTGATACAAATTTATCTATCAAGTAATTTATTATGCATAGAGCTAGAGCCTAGAGAGATTCATGAGTAGGTTTCACAAGAATTTGTGGAGTCTCACCATTTTTTACTCATATCATTCTCTTTTAACCTTCGCATATCTTCGGTCATCATACTTTTCCCTTTCCATTTTTAATATCATGAAGCATTCATGCTCAACCCCAATTCAAGAAAAAATTCATGTGACATAAATATTCAATTCATAACCACAATTACATATCTTCCCATTTCATACATGTCTCTCTACCTCTCCAAATAATAGACAAGGGGGAAATAGAAAAAGGTAAAAATTAAAGAAAAGGGAATAAGGAAACTGTTCTTCATCTTTACCATCTTTCAACATTAGTACGTATATACTTTGGTGTAGAAATGACAAGATTATTTGTATGTGTTAATAATATACGATGATAAAGATGGATTTGGAAGAGAAGGAGATTCACAAAGGTAATAATGCAGAAATGACCGATGGTGTTTCACGCCCTGAAGGAAAGGGAAATAGGCGTAACAACAAATATGTGTCAGCTTGCGCCATCTTTGCCTCTCTTAATTGCGTTCTTCTTGGATATGGTTAGCCTTTTATTATCATAAAGACAAATCTTATCCTTATTTTAAAGTTGATGTGGAGAAACTCTCCAACACAAGCTAAGGACAAACTTTTCAAAATAGTTTAAATTGCATATATAACCGGTGCATGGAGGAAATTGCTAGAAATGCCATTTACATACTTTTCTTGTTCAGATGTGGGTGTTATGAGCGGAGCCATTATATTCATGCAAGAGGACCTACAACTCACAGAGGTACAAGAAGAAGTCTTTGTGGGAATCCTGAGTATAGTTTCTCTCTTGGGAAGTTTAGCAGGAGGAAAGACATCAGATGCCATAGGTAGAAGGTGGACAATGGCTTTTGCAGCAATGGTTTTCCAATCAGGTGCCGCCATAATGGCTATAGCCAACAGTTTCAGAATCTTGATGTTTGGCAGATTCTTGGCTGGAATCGGGATTGGGTTCGGGGTCATGATTGCACCTGTATACATAGCGGAGATATCCCCTGCCATTGCCCGGGGCACTCTCACTTCATTCCCTGAGATATTCACGAACCTCGGGATTCTCCTCGGGTATGTTTCGAATTATGTGTTTTCGGGTTTGCCCCCCCATATCAGCTGGAGAGTCATGCTTGCTGTGGGGATAACACCGTCGGTTTTTATTGGGTTTGCACTATGTATCATCCCAGAGAGTCCTAGATGGTTGGTAATGAAGAATAGGATTGATGAAGCAAGGTTGGTGTTGTTGAAAACCAATGAAAATGCTGGAAATGAGGTTGAAGAGAGGTTAGCAGATATTCAAAGAGCAGCGGCCGATTGTGCTGGCGGAGACAAGTATCAAGGGAATGATGTATGGGGTGAGCTTTTGAGCCCATCGGCCGGAGTTCGGCGAATGCTCATCGCTGGTTGTGGCATTCAAGTGTTTCAGCAGATCACAGGTACATATTTCATCATTAGGTTGATAGAATTCTAACACTCACTTGCATAAAAAGTTTTGAGTTGCTTCTATTTTCGTGTTAATTTTCAATAATAAAGTTTTAAGTCTGAGTATGATCTTTCACTTCAGCTTTCTTAAATACTATTGTACCTTGTTATCACATTCACATCCCAAATCATAGATTCATAGGGGTTTCAGAAGCTAGTCTCCTCTAACTTCTAAAAAACTGCTTCTGGAAGCAATTTGGAGCACTAGAAGTTAACTGTGCAGTTTCACCCAAGCACTCAAATATCTGATTTTGCCCCTGAAGGAGCAGAAGCAGATCCAAACACCTCATACTCCCATAGTAGAAGCAGATCCAAACACTAGTAACTTTTGTACAACTCTTATTGATTTTAGAGCTTTTTTAAGCACCTACCTTGTACAGTATAAACAGAACATGAATGTGATGATGAAATTTTCAATAGGTATTGATGCAACTGTGTATTACTGCCCAACGATCTTCAAAGATGCTGGGATGAGGAGCAATTCCCATCTCCTGGCTGCAACTGTGGCTGTTGGATTCACAAAAACATTCTTCATCCTGATAGCTATTATGTTGATTGACAAGGTAGGTAGGAAGCCATTGTTGTACATGAGCACCATTGGCATGACAGTTTCTCTATTAGCTCTTGGAATCACACTCTCCTTCCCCTCCTCCTCTGCGTCATCATCTCATATCAATCTGGTGATCCTCTTTGTTTGTTCAAATGTGGCATTCTTTTCTATCGGAATCGGTCCGATATGTTGGGTTCTTTCGTCCGAGATCTTCCCTTTGAGGCTTCGAGCTCAAGCGTCGGCCCTAGGGGCAGTCGGCAGCAGAGTCAGCAGTGGGGTGGTTGCCATGTCTTTCCTATCTATGTCTCGCGCCTTTACTGTGGGAGGGACGTTTCTTGTTTTTGCTGCTGTTTCTGCTGTCTCTGTAGTGTTTGTTCACAAGTGTTGCCCTGAAACAAAGGGGAAATCATTGGAAGAGATTGAGATGATGTTCCAGAATGATAATGGTGGAGGAAGAGTGCATGTGGAAGATGCTGAACTACTTCTAATGCAGAGAAGACAAGAAACTGTTTATTAATCATTGAAAAACAAATTCATTGCATGCTTTAAACACAAGCGGGAGTAGTACTGTAATAGTTTGAAGTAAAGTAGTACTTCAACTTTCATGAAATCTTACCTAGTGAACTTAATTTTGTGTTGAATATTCAAAAAGTACCAATTAGTGCCTTCCTTTTATTTGAAGGCCCCCTTTTAATAACTCTCTTGTCAAATTGATTTTTCTTAGTTAATGATAATCAATTGATCAATGATATTTTAATCTGAAACTATTTTAAATATGAAATTTATACTAAAACGTTACTTATTAAAAAAAAAAATTCATAAAAGTATAAAATTTATAATTTATAAAAAAATATTATAATTAAAATCATTGTTTAAGTTTTGCATCATTGACCAAGAAAGGGTAATATGATAAACTTTTTTGGAATGGAGGTATTACAATTTTTTGAGGTTATAGTTAACTTCCTTTGTTTAAATTAGAGTAAATTCCCTAAATATGAGTAAAAAAGTTTTGAAATTCTAAAATAGGACTATCATGTTTTTTATTCCCTAAATAGGAGTAAATTTCTGTCAAGTTTAACATTACTAGGCTTTTAAAAATGGCCACATTAAGAGTTAGAAAATTTATATACTAGTATTTTTTCATTCACCCCAGTGCCGCAAAGGCTCCCACCTACGGTGGGGTAAGGGGGGGTCGGATGTACGCAGTCTTACCCCTGTACTAAAGCACAGAGAGACTGTTTCCGGATGACCCATAGTGAAAATCGCGTCCAAGATTGCATTGACTGACTGCTGCTCCATAACAAAGAAGCGCAAACAGTTTAGTGAGCCATTTTGCTTTATTCCATCATAACCTCAAACCAAAAAATAATGAATCTTTAGCTCCATTGCAAATGATGGAAAATTAAATTGGAGTATTAAATACAAAAGTTGATTTGAATATGATATAATTTGAAGCATAAATTTAATGATTACAAAATAGCTTCATTCATGGTATAATAGTATATGAGACCTTATTTTAAACATAGATTGTGAACACTTTTTGTCCACAATATCCCCTATATAATTAAACTAAATATGATACAGAATTAGCACATCCATTAAGACACTTTTCATAAACACTTATCATAACAATAACCATCTTAGCAGAGCAACTCACATTGCAAATCACAAGATTGGAATAAATTTAAGAATGATTTTACGTGGCTTGTTTTCAATCCCAGATCAGGGATTCAAACCAATCAAAACAGAACAAATCAAACTTAAACCGATCAAATCAGACCAGACAAAACATTCATAGTTATAAATTACATAGAGACCAGACATTTACCTAATCAGACCTCATCAGTTCAGATCAGACTAGACCTGATCAGACCAGACTTAAACAGACCAGAATAGATCAGACAAACAAATTTCAATTTAATTGAAAAACATCGTAAATGCTCCACCTTATAAAATTTGGTCAATTTTGACTTACACACAGAATAAGAAAGTTAATATTTGATAAGTTCATATTTCAAAACGCATTTGATGCGTGTTGGGATTGAGTTTTGTCACTTTTCCTAATCTATATGAGTCACAAACCGTTTAATTAGCTCAAGTCATAGTTTACCGGATTTAGGTTTGCATTTGGTGTTTTTAGAATTAAAATCAGGAAATTGAGCTCGACACCGGTATTGGAGAATTAATCGGGAGGACTCAAGACACATTTGAGAGTTATTGAGAAACATTAAAGGTCCACGATTCATTAAAGGATTGATTTTGAAGTAAAGAGAGCTCAATGACCAAGTACGAGATCAAACGGGAACGAATCAAGCTTAAAAACGGCGATCACGATGACGTTTTGTCAATCGTTCAAGCATATTATTTTGTAGAAACATCCAAACTACACGATTCAAGTTCCATAAGAAATACTCCCTCCGTCCCTTAAAACTTTGTCAACTTTCCTTTTTTGTATGTCCCACTAACTTTGTCACTTTCCTATTTAAGTAAAGAATTTGTGGTTCCAGTTAATTCTCTCTCTTCTGCACAAACCTCTACCACACAGTTTTTACTTTATTAATCATCGTGCCGGTCAAACTTGGCAAAGTTTGAAGGGACGGAGGTAGTATAACTTAAAGAGCTACAAATCATATGAAGACACAATGACGAGAATCTGAGAGGAGAAAGGTGAAAACACACGATGAAGTGAGATAATCGATGTTGAGATCTTCAGGATGCGACCTCCCACCATTTTATTCATATCTTTTGGTTGGATGGACCAATTCTAGTTTTGCAAGTTCCGGTGAATAGAGGACTTCATTATCTACAACTTGTGTGAAAGAATAATAGTCAAATCAGGATGTAAAAGACGCACGCCGTGCCTGGAAGATGAAAGCACGAGCAACCCTGCTGAAGGTCGGGCACGCCGTGCCCGACATTGTTTTCGCTACCAGTGCTCCGGAGGCACGGACGCCAGGCACGCCGTGCCTGGCCCCAGAAATCCTTTTTCAGCTCAAATTCCCCCGTTTTCTATTTAAACAGCATGTAAACCCCTACAGAGCTTAGAGAAAGGCCTAAGACGAAATTTTGAGTGCTTTTTCGCTTTGTTATTCAAGAACCTGAGATTATTTGTATGTTCCATCTTTTTAATTAATGACAATTAATGTTTTTCATCCCAATTCTATTTTATTTATTTTATTCGCTGAATTTATTTAATTCTTGATTCCCTTTTTCCGTCCCTGTGGAGACGATAATCGTACTTATACCTTATACTTCTACATATTTTAAGTGAGAGAAAACACGCATCAATATTGTACACTTGGGGTTTGTACGGAAAAAAGCTAAATAATATTGAACACAAATATGTTACTTCAAATAAGAAAGTGCCAAAATTTATAAAACGACTAAAACAAGTTAATAAATTTTAGTGAGACAGAGCCAATGACATTTCTTTATTATCTAGATGAGGAAATGTGCAAATGTATCTCTCATGTTCCTATAAAGGAGCAAATTTACCCTTATGAACTTGAAATCAATAAAATAGATTTTAATAAACATCAAAAATAAATTATAAATTTAAAATTTTAAATTGAAAAATGAAAAAAATAAAAAATCTACTTGTGTCTGCAATTTAAAAAACACCAATAATAATAATAATAATAATAATAATAATAATAATAATAAACTCATTTATGGTTAACCAATCTACATGCATATTGGAATATTACACGGATGCTTATTGCAAAGGAAAGAGAGTCGCCGGGATGTGCACCCTCATCAAGTTATGCCAGATTTCATCATTGCTGGGGAGGATGTCATAACCATGGCCGTAGGGCTAGCCGGGCAATAGCCGGGGGTGAATCCAACAATAAGAACACTAACCGTTTGCGGAGAAATCAAACGTTGATGGCACCCCACCACCCACCACAACCCCATCATGGCCCCGCCCTCGTTGCCATCCTTACCGAAATGTCACTGCCCACATTTTCATTTCACGTGCGGATGTCATGAAAAATATGAAGAGTCATACTCCGTTTTGGGACGTCTTTATTCACTAAAACGACGAGTCACTTCTATGTAATTTGTCTGCTAATCCGTTCTTTATTAACTGTCTCGCATTCCTTTTGGGGACGTTTTTAATTATTTGTCCTTCTTTCCCTTTTTGGTAAGTTTTTTCAATCAAAATACATTTATACCCCCACTTTTATTACCATTACCCCTTTCTCTTTCCTAATTTTTCATTTACCCACAACTTACTACACCTTTTACATTACCCCTATTATTTTACTTTTAAAACTCGTGCCAAAGCCTAAGAGGACTCATATTTAAGAACGGAGGGAGTATTTTTGGAACAGACTAGTAGTAATATATGGGTCATTATTTCTTTGTGGGCTTTCCCATAAAGAAATGTGACAACTTTTAAATAGTGACAAAAATGTAATTGGTAAGGTCATATATTTGGAAAAACATGATGTTACTATAAATTTCTTATGTCACTACAATTTTTCATATCATTGCGGGTTGTCACTGCCAGATTTTCATATCACGTGCGGATGTCACTGTCGTCGTGAAATATGTCACAATGACCGCCGGAAATTTATGCATGACCTTTTTCTAGCGAAATTGCAGTACATCCTCTACAATAATGACTCAGTTTTCAACCGTTTTCGTTCGGTAAAGGCACTGCTCAATCCTCATCCCCCCCCCCCCCCTCCATCCCCGCCAACAAAACCACACCCCGTCCTTGCAATAATTGTACCCCACCATGACACCTCACCCCAACCCTGCAACTGCCGCATCCCTCCACCACACCGGCTCACAAGCCGTTGCACACCACATACTGCCACAGTCCGAGACCCTGTCTCAACCCCTACTCTGCCCCATGCCGCTGCACTTGCCCCATCTCCCATCCCCCTACCACTGCGGCCACCCTCAAAGCTTCTCAATCCCATCACCGGCCTAACATTGCCCCCATTCGTTGCATCCGTCCCCAATCGTGCCTTCATTTAACCTAGTCGTCGTTATTTGAACCCTAATCATCGATCTTATCAAAGGTAACCATCAAAGATGCCATTGACAATCTACCTTGTCCATCACAATAGGCAGAACGTCTTCGGTAGAAAACTCCTACGCTCGTTGATGGAGTATATAGACCCCGACCCCCGGCCTGCCGACTATTGGGCCTGGACAACGATTCACATACACCAGCAGACAACATTTATATTAATGTATAGTTTACATATTCATTGTATGTAATAGAATAGCTTTTTATACTATTAGTCCATTTATGTAACCGGGTCTGTTGGACCCATATTAGATGCACATACCCGGATTTCCCTATATATACTGTAACACCCCAAAATTTCCCGCCCAAAATAATACTTGAAATAATAATATATTGATAACAACCTTGATTTATCATTCAAAATGAGTAGAGTTTTGCAGCGGAAATAACAATAATGGGAAATGGGTGTTACCGCCACACCCGACCAAACACGGTCGGATGCACAGGCATCTTAAAAACAAATAAAGTGAAAGCAACAAAAAGTAAATGTTTATTTAAGACTAAGTTCAACTAAGGTATCTTGTAATTCGCTCTCAGGCTCGAGCAATCCATCAATCCACATAAGCACCCAACTCATCACATGTTAAAATTTAAGGGAGGAGAGGCGGGACAAGGAAAGTAACAAAAATTAGCTTTAGAGCTAAGTAAGTACT